TTTGAAAATTAACAAAACATTCTCCAGTCAGCAATTAACAACATGTTCCTGACAGAAACAGGCCTAGGGTGTAAAGGTTTACATCAAAAGCTATGGAAACACTTTTCACTTACAGAAAATGAGCGCCTGCATGTTTGAATTGTAGCACGCAGCCTGTCACAGGCTCAAGAATGCATCCTCATCTTTTGGCTTCGCCCAAGACTACCACAAACACAAAAAAAATCTGGAACAAAACAAAAAAACCCCAAAACAAGTCACCTAGACACACTAGTGCTTCCATAATGTGAAATTACATCTATTGACAATTATTCCCCTTCAGTGATTTCACATGGGAAGGAGACAGTAGTACCTTTCAGATGCTATGGGTACACAAATCAAGTCATGACCTCCCTGAAATCTGTCCCAGACACAAGTGCAGGTCTTACCTGAGACAGTGTTTGTTAAAACTTTTAAGGAAAACTGATCAGTCATTCCTCCTTTACAGCCTGAACTGGAACTGGCCACTCACAATCAGCTCCCAGCAAGAACTTCAGTGTGGGGTTAAATGCGTTTTCCCATCAGAAGGCATGGAAGTAATCAAAACGTTCTGAAAGTTTACTCTCAAACTGAAGACAATGTTACGTCTTGCCCCTTTGTCCTCTATCAATGCTACGTTAGACCTATAAGAGCAGACAACAGTTAACGTATTTATCATAGCTGAAGTTGATGTATTTATCACAGATAAATAGCAATGCAATCCAGGAAAGTCCTTGCTTTGCTTCTCACTGAATTCAGAAGGAGGGGAAACGGTATCTCAGGCCTCGTGGGATTTAAGTAATAGCTTTCTACTTAGTTACAAAATTATTTAAGAGAGCCTAAAAGTAGTTAGTTCTTAAAAGGTATGAGCACAAGGAGGAGTTAATCAGAACAAGAATTAGAGAAAATACCACAACCACATAGATCTCATTCTGCAGCTCAACACAGAAAAAGGATGAACCAGATCAAGACAGTAAAAAGGAGAAGGCAGCAGCGACAGCTGCACGAACCCCATTCTCAACCTGCCCTCGGGAGGTCCCTCCATCCCATCCCACCCATCAGTCCTGTACGGCCCATTTCATTCTTTTCACTTGACACATCCCTTGCAGCCTCTCAAAGCCAGTATTTACAGCATGGAAAGATGACAGCATCGCAATAGAGGAAAACGCCTCACGTGCAGGCCAGGTAAGTAAAGGGCCCTGTGCTACTTTTAGAGGTGGCACCTTCTGAAAAGCATCCTCTGCAAAAAAACAAAGAGCACCCCACCCCCAGCCTTCTCAAGGATCAAAAACCACAATATCATTTATAAAATTTTTATTGGATTCAGTAGTGCTACTCGCAGCTCTCTGAAACAGAGAAAAGTAAGTATCATTGAAGCTTCCTGCTTTTCTTAACTCCCGCGCGAATGCCGGACAGTTCCCCAGCATATCTGTGCAATTCCCTCCGAACTTCACGGACCTGGCCCTTGCGGCGAATCTTGGCTCGCCGAAACTTCTCCCGATGCTTGACCCTGGGGTTGCGATCAATCTTCCTCCTTCTGGGCGTCAGGCCTTTGTTCTTGATCATCTGATAGGTCACACCTCTCTTTTTACTTGGATCCTCTCCTTCCAACACCGCTTCTTCTTCAAGCATGTCTTGATCTTCAGTTCTCTTCCTCTTGAGTTTCAACTTCTCCTCCATCATCTTATAGTATTTTAGGGCAGCCTCTTCATCCAAGTCCGACTCATCTGACAGTTCAGCAGCAGTAGCCTGGCCATTAGCAAGCGCAGGAGCACGTTTCAATTTGTTTTTCTTAACATCCGGTGGGAGGAACAGCGCAAACTTCTTCTCCTTCGGTAATTTGTCTTCCTTCTTATCATAGTAGTTTTTCAAAAGCATACGAACTTGTGAGGATAACTTTTGATCTATAACAGCTAGGTCATTGATTATATTTCTATAAGCAACCAGCCGTTCGATAACGGGGTGACTGTGAACCGGCATCCTCTTTGACTTCAAAACCAAATAGAAACTGATATTGGCACAGTAATTCAAGTAGAGATGATACTTGGTCTGCAAATAGCGACTGCCTTTCCCTTGCGGGATAGTGCCGTTTTTGACCATTTGCAGCAGTGGGTGCAGTTCGTCCTTGAGCTCCATTAGCTTGACTTCAAAGTCCTCAATCAGCTGCAGGAGCTCAGGGGACTCCTGCTTCAGTAGCTTCAGCTGCTGCTTCTTGGAAAGGGCCTGCAAATCCTTGTCAATCTTCTGCCCCTTGCCATCGTGGGTTTTCTGCTGCTCAGCCAGATAGCCCTGGATCACATCCAGCCCGTAGTCATCCTCCCCTAAGTCCTGCACCAACCGCCTCTGGATGACTTGAGCCTCCTGCTCCTCTTCCTCCTCCTCAGCATCGACTTCTTGCTGGCTACGCTTGCCCTTGGCCTGTGCATCGCTCCCATAGTCCGTGTCGTAGTAAAGCTGCTTGCGTTGGCCCCAGGAGAGCTCGTGGGGGAGCTTGGTATCCTGATGGCGCTCCTCCAAGTCACTCCCCATGGACAGCTCTTCATCTTCATCTTCAACCTCACTTTCCTCCTCCTCCTCGCCTTCTCCATCCTCCTCCTCCTCCTCGCCTTCTCCATCCTCCTCCTCCTCGCCTTCTCCATCCTCTTCTGCACTGTGGTCCACGTAAAGATCCACCCCCTGCACCTCCTTCTCCTCCTCCTCTTCTTCCTCACCGCTTCCATCCTCCTCGCTGTCCTCCGGCAACTGCAGCCCCAGCACCTCCTCCTCCTCCTCCTCCTCCTGGCTGTCCCCGGCCTCCTCCCCGCTCTCCAGGGCCGCCATCACCGCCTGGAACTGCGCCTCGTGGAAATCCTCCACCTCGTCCGCCAGGCCCTCGGGGCCAACCTGGCCGCCATCCTCCTCCTCCTCCTCGGCGGAGGGCTCGGGCGGCGGCCGCAGGACGGTACCGCGCCGGGTCCTCATGGCTCCGCTCCGGCTCTTCCACCGCCCTTCCGCTTCCGCCTTCCAGTCCCTTCCGCTTCCGCCGCCCCCGGTTCCCCTTCCGGCCGTTCCGGCCGCGGGGAGGGTCCCGCCGTAACCCTCGGTGCCGGGGGCGGGCAGTCGTACCGGGGGTACGTCCCCGCTGCCGCCCGCCCCGGGGCCGGAGCCTGCCCCGCCGGGGAAGGGGCGGGACGGGCTGTGCCCGGATTTCGGGGAGAGGAATAGGGACCCGCAAGGAGCTGCGTGCCCTGGGCAGCCGCTTGGGCAGGGAGTTCTTTCAGTCGTGGTGGGTGTCGGCACTGCAGAGTGCCCCGCGGAAAGAAGAGAGTGCCTTTTTTTTTCTCCTCGGGGGAGTCTCTTCGCCTAAAAGCACGGACGCATACAACTGCTGTGTGTATGGCAATCTTATAACAATGAGGAAATTAAATTAAAAAAAAAAAAAGCAAGACAGAAAGCGCACCTGACATCTGTCCCCTCATCAACTGAAACTTCTTGTTACTCAGTTCCCTACAATGAGATCAGACTTTCAGAGAGAAAAACAAGTATTTGAAAACCTCCCTGGACACATCTGAGGCACGTACGTTAACTCTTGCACCTCCTTCCCTCCACCGAATGGCATCTCCGCAGGGATACGGGCATCTCCTGGCGGGATCCAGGCCCGTTCTAGAGGCTGCGGGTCAGCCTTCAGGCTGTACGGCGAAGGCAGGCTGCAAAGCCGGGCTGCTGCTGCTGCTTCGCCGTCCTCTCTGCTCCTTGGAACAGCCCCTTTACACCAATAAACACCTGTGTCCAGGGCATTAGTAAAGGAGCAATTCTGATTTTCAGCAGCTGGGGACCCCTCCATCAGGAGGGAATCTCTATTCATTCATGTTTGCGTTCTCACCCTGTATTTTTGCTTGTGTCTGTCGTCTGTCACAGAGTGCCCAGCCCAGCCTCCCGCCGTTCCGCATTAATACTGAGGCACATGGAAACGGTCTGTTTTTAAGCAATGCAGACAGCTGTGCCACAAGAGCAGAGGGCGGCACTGTAATTAGTTTAGTCTGAGCTCAGAAACCCAGAGCCTGATAAATTAAGCATCCACACGTCCCAGCAAGAGGAGTTCTGCACAGAAGTAATGCAGGTGTTTTTTTCTCACCACAGAGCAGGTGCAATTTTATTTTTAAACACTGACGTCCACCTTCTTGTGGAAAAAGACGTGTCAAACAAATAGTAAGGTTAACTGAAACAGAGGTAGGGTGCACATCTTTACTCACTTTTTGGTGATTCATTTGGATTCTGGTAGATCTGATGGCAGACAAGTCTCACTTATAAGCCTTTTTTCTGACATGCTTAGCTGTTCTACATAGTCACTGCTGTGTCAAAATTTTCCCTATATGCTCTTGCACCAAAGATACGTTTTGCCTCAGACTAAGACATCTTTTCCAAATCTGTCCATGGCAATTTTCAGATATCACCTCCCCTGGAGACAGACCTATATAAGAAAGAGCAACAAGAATAACTTAGTTTTGTTAAGTGAGACATAGCGTTCATTTAATTTGTTAGTCACACCTCGGTGGAAATTCTCACTTTATACTAGTTGACCACTAAAATACAGACATCTCTGCCCATCAGGCTTTGTAATTCTGTTGCTTAATCGTACCGGTTTTTGTGTGAAGTCTATCCAGAGAAGTCTGCAGGCAATTCCTGCGCAGTTAAAATTCCAGGTAACTTTTGCAAGTGTGACTTACAAAAACCCAGGCCTTGAATGTGTCCCTGACCCCAACGGTTTCCATCTAACTGCCCTCACAATGTAGTGGCCTCATTTTTTTAAGGTCTGCTCTTTCAAAGTTCAGGGCCTTAATGAGAGACCAACTTCCACTTGGACTTTCATGGATTTAAATGGAATTAACATGTTGTCTCTCAGTCTCAGGTTAATTTCTAAGAGCAGGAAAGATATAGCATCTATAGACATTTGAAATTCCTCCACGACTTGCTGAAAACATGATCCACTTCTGGTGAAGCTGGAGATGACCTCCAATGTGAGTTAGTTCATCCAGCTAGCAGAAACTGCTCAAGCCAAACCACACCAGTTTGCTGTAAGCATCAGTAGAATCACTGCTACCAATACGATAATCAGTGACCGCTGCAGGTCTGTTTTAATCCACCATTTTCTTTGCCTCTGAATGAGAAATGAGGAGGAAAGCAAGCTGTAGAACAGACTGCTAGCAGACGGTGTGTTATCTGGAGATACCCTGTGCCCTGGTAGGGCTGTCCTCCTCTCCACTCCTTACCCAGCGTAGCACGGACATACAAAGACACAACTATTTTGCCTCACTTCAACCAGGCACCTGCCCAGCTTCTCACCTGGAAAATCCTAATTCGGCATGTCCAAGGCCAAGTGGAGGCACAGGATGAGTGGAAGGAGACTGAGACTATAAGGCTGCTTCCCATTTCTTTTCAAATTCTCAATTACTCCTCTGCTAGCCTTTGTCTCACAGTCAGGTTGGAAGTCTAGCTCCCCACTCAGCTCAGAATTTAAGCCTGGGGTGATGGTTTGCCAGCCCCTTGCCAAACTGCCACAGTTCTTTAACGCCTGCTTCCCCAGATAATTTTCTGTTAATTCAAAATGTCACACAGTAAAAAGGGGATAGTCTGTAGAAGTAACACTCCATAAAACAAATCTCCCTCTAAAGAGCTTGCAATTGAGAGAGAAATCCTCAGAGACATGCAGGTGGCTGAACGGGACTAAAAATAGCTCTGGTGCCACCACGTACAGACCAAAGGGACTGTATGCAGACATGTAGATTTAGCAACCGAAATTCAGATATGCTGAGTACCGGTAGTCAGGAAAAACCACTGAAATTAACAGAATCACACAGAATGTAATTCTGCTCAGTCTCTCTCTTCAGGTTTGAAACATACTCATTGATGCCTCTGCTTGAATTTTACCAGTGGTATATTTTTGTCAGTGCAGTTTGGCAAAACAGACCCTAACCAGCCTCTTTTGCATGTGCTTTATTCTGCTGCCTGCATCCCCCCTTCTGGTATATTTCTAAAAAATCTATTGTGTTACAAAAAAGGTGACTGAAACAAACAGTGATTTAGATAGACACCCTTACCACCTCATGGTTAGCCAGGTCTATTTTTAACCTTCTGCAAAAGATGGGGTACAGGGAACATCTTGCTGCTGCTTCAGAGGAGAGCTCTACAAAAAAAACTCTGTTGGCAATACTTCCTGGGGAGGGGAAAAGGAAACAAAATTTTTGCCCCCCTGAAGATGGAGCCCTAGTGAGAAAACAAGGTTTGTAAAGAAGAATTAGGGCATAAGCCCTGCTATGAGCTAAGCTTGCACCCATCATCCCCCTGCACCTGCCAGGGGGAAACCTTGCGTGTGAGCGCTGCTGATGCAACACAAAAGCTCATTGCATCATGCAACTGCCAGATGAGATGTTTGCACTATAAGAAAAAGCTCAGGACACAGATTCCAGGCTCTTTGAGCAGCTCTAGTGTTAGGGACCCAGCCAGCAAAGTCTGAAGAAAAGGAAGACATCCTGTAAGGTGACAGGCTGCCCTTCCAGGAGCTGGGATGCTTGGCAGCGTTGCTTAATGACGTTAGCCTCTTGAGAGCTTGGCACTAGCAACCAACCCCAGGTGAGCCAAGGGCCGCAATGGGCTGTGTGAAAAGCCTGTATCTGGTCACCGGGCTGCTGCTCTGCTGCATAAGGAAAAGCTGCTGAACACAGGGAGATTTACCATGTGCTGCTAACGTTAATTGAGACAAACACATATTGCAGGTAGCAGAAATTGAGGAAACACTGATGCGATAACACCGGCTAAGAATGGGCCTGCCAGCATCGTACTTTGCTCTGCCTCCCCTTTCGTCCCCCGACGCGGGTGTTCGGAGGCCCTTGCTAAGATTGGGCTTCCCTTAAAACATGGCCTTTTCTGTGCAAGTCACGTACATATTTTACAGAGACAGCTCTGGTCATTGCAAGTTACGTTGCAATGTTTGTTCTTCAGAGTTACACACGTGATCCCAAATCTGTGACAAAAAATCCCAGGTCCTCCCCCATACTCCCACCTTCAGGAAAAGCCTGCTTGCCCAGTACCTTGGGGAGTTTGCCTGGGACCTGCTTCAGAGCCTTTCATAAACCTCAAATCCCTTAGAGTCCCTTTTCCATTCATAAGAAAAAAACCTTCTCGATGCTGTGGGCAGAGCTGAAGGAACAGTTCAGCTTTGCCACAGACCTGCTGTTGCTTTATCTCTTTTCCCCCTCCCCTCTCTCATCTTGTTTTGACTGCAAGTTCTTTGGGGGCAGGTCGAACCCTTAATAGAGGCTTGCACAGAATCTGGTGCAAACAGAATTCTGATCTTGAAGTGTTTTTTTTATATGAGTCAAGTGATCTTTAAGTCTGATTTCTCAAAACTAGGAGCCAGAGCTGTTGCCCCTTGGCTATCTGGACGCGTTCTTACCTTACGCTCCTCACCCCCAGGTGGGAAAGCACCACTGGCCCTGATGGCAAGCTGTCCCCTAAGGACCAGGGCGGTTTTGCTCTCCCTTGCTCTTAGCAGCTCATGGCTTGTTGGTGATTAACAGAATAAAAACCCACAGTAATGGTGCAACTCCCTGCCCCCCTTCACCTTTGAAAGCCAGAGATCTTTGCGCGTTGAACATGCCTGGTTTCAGTCCCCAGCCACATTTTCCACAGTGTCAGTGCTAGCTGGCTGGGCTGTTTATTTTAGGAAACAAATAGCCATATCATTTGCACACGCCCTTATAGGCAGACACCGGCTCTCCACTCGCGTTCTTCAAAAGAAGGGAAGGCAAGATGAAGAGCTCTTTGTTGCTGTGCGTGGCCTTGGCCATCTCCTTGGGGTTCATCCTTGTGGCAGGTAGGTGATAAATGAAAAGCATGGAAAACTGCGCTTAAGATATCAGTGATGGGTTTTGTGCGATCAGCCATTAATTATTCTAATAGCCAAAAATCAGACCTCAAAGCCTGCTCAAGCAGTCATGCTTCAGTGGTACTTGGATACCTCAGTGTCTGCACCACGGAGCTATGTGGTTTTAATTGCTGCCTTGAGAGTAAAGAAGTGATGACTAGCTGCAAATTTAAGACTTGATAATTACCCGTTTTTGATCGGATATCTGAAGTAACGAGACGCAAACGTACATGGTTGCTTTTCTGCAGTGCTAGGAAGCTTGCAAGACTCTTACCTGCTAGATTTAGAAACTTCTAAGATCTTCCCGGTAATCCTGCCATATAGCTACAGCCAACTTATTTCTGATTAAAATGTAGTTTATCGTATAACTCCACTGAATTTCTTGGAGACTCTTGACTTAGACTGAGATCAGACTGTCATTCCAGCACACTCCAAAGCGTGGTTTGCAGGTAGCAGATACTGAGTATACTAATGCCGGATCTCTATACGACAGTCAAAGTCATCCTCATTCACACGGTGGATGTGGTCCGCAGCATTAAATCGGTGCTCAGGAATAATCATCCCAACAGCATGGACAACAGTATGCCTGCATTGCCTCCAACTTTTGGGAAAGGGCATCTTATTGCCTACCCAGGCAGGTCCTTGGCAAGTACTGCTTCATATGAAAAGTGACTAGCTGTATAATCGATTAGCTGAAAAGGCAGAAAATGCTGAGAAATACTGTGTCGGTACAACGCAGAACCCAGTCTGGTTTTCCCCGTTCATACACACAGCTTAAGAGATACACACACACGTAAGCAGCTTAGAGAGGAAGTCAAATTAGTTACATGCAGCCACAAGAGTTCTGTTTGTACTACTTCTGTTTAAATGAACGTATTTTGGGGCTAATTGAGCCTCTTCCTTCTTTAATAAAGTAGCCACTTGGACCTGCAGCAGAGTTTGAACAGATACTTTTGGAATGCATTTGCTTCTTCACTATGCTGCACCTGGATTCTGTTGGGCTTCACAGTGTATTACAGGACAACCCAATATTGGAAGATGAGAAATTTCGTGAAAAAAATATCCGCGTGAGTGTTGAGGAGGGAGGGAACACCATATTGCAGTAAAACACGCACCAGAAAATCCAACCTACAGACATTTAGAAGGGCATTAGGAAATTTTGTATTTAACTACCTTTTCCCCAAAGGGACTTTACTGGGTGACACATGGAAGAATTGCTGATAAAACTCTCTTTCTTGGAGCTTTGAAGTTTTACTTTAAAAAAATATATGGAGTACCTGTATCTTTTACAGTTACTGAAGCCAAGGGTATTACATGATGAATTAAATCAGGACAATATTTTTATAGTACAGTCAAAAGCCCCTGTATATTCATAAAAGAGTGTGTTAATATAATTTTAGAAGATGAATTAAAGCCTGCTCCCCAAAGGTTTTGGGACAACTCCCAAAGCCAATAGGATCCGACATGAATATTGGCTTTGGATTAAGAGCTTAGAAAGAATTGCATACAGCATTAGATAAAATACAGTGACAGACACCAGAGCAAGGTCTATGTGAAGGACAAGAAGCTAGAGAGTTTCTGTAAGACAAAAGAAAGGCCAAGACTCATGGAGGCAGACACTAAAGAAACTTTTGTAGTAAGCTTCTGCTTCAGAGGGAAGTGTTCATGTTGCATGATGAGTTGGCAGAGAGGAAGCAAGCAGAGCAACAGATATTGGAATCGGGGGTACAAAGAGACAAGCACCATTAAATTCCAAATAATGACCATCTCCATGTGTCAGACAGGATTATGTATTTCTGCCTTGGTGGGGCACAGTGCAGTTGGAAGTATGACTGGACTTGCACTCTACGTGCACATTTTGCAGTGGCATTTGTTCAGCTGGCCAATTGTGCCAGATGCTATACAAAGAAATGTTAAAACCAGCCCTTGCTCTAAAGGGCTCAGTGGGCACACTATAGCAGGATAAAGAAAACCTGAGAGCAAGAGAAAGGGCAACATCTTCCACATGCCTGTAGTGGCTTGCTCCACTGCCCAAAGCAAGGGAGCAAAGTAATTTCCCTCCTAACTGAGAAACTCCACAGTCAATCTTCTTCAGAAGGTATTCTGCCACCAATTGTCACAGAAACAGCATTTGTAACTAGCAGGTGAATTGTAGGGTCGGTCTGAGGCATCATTTTACACGATTTAGGTGCCTTTTTCACAGTTATGGGGCCTGCAAGGTTCTCAGAAGATAACCCAGTGGAATGGAAGCCGACGAGACCAGCATTTTGTAGGGGCAGGAAGGAAGTTCCAAGAAGCCTCAGATAGAAAACCTGGAATACCATATGCATTACATTGTATGGACTAGATACCTGGGGGCTCTGCCAGTCAATACTGCAAAGGATCTGACCTTGTTTGGTCTTGCAGACAGCTTCATGTGACTGTAAGCTGCCACCAACAGTGGCTAACTATCAGAAATCTTACAGTCCAACTCGGGAATCCACGTGCTGCTCCTGGATCCCAGCTTTCGTGTTGCTCCCACAGGCTTTGAGCACTACCCCTTTTACCCGATAGTAACAGGGTCTGTTGTTCATAAAACCCAGCAGCTTGGGACATGGAGATTAAGGAAAAACACAGACATTAACTTATGCAATATGTGTGTCTGCTTCCTTACTGATCCATGCTTTGATAACTTAAAGAAATCCAGCTATTAGGACCAAAGCTTTTAAGTCAAAGTGACTCTAAAATCCTCCACAGACACGATGAACACAGATGTTTTCAGCCCGTTTCTTCTTTCTCTCCATGGTTAAACCAAGGGACAAGCAGAGTAGGCAAGTCCCCAGAACTGAAGGTCTACCTGAGCCCAACATAAACTGTCCCAGTCTTAAAAAAAAAAATTTTAAAAAAATCGCTAGTTTTGGTACTTCTAAGCAGGCTGAAGGTGCTGTAGGAAAAGTGATGCTGCAAAGCAATGGCTGTGAATTTGATTTTAGCAGCATTTAGAAATACAGAGTGTAAAAACAACCACTTAAGAAGGGTATGACTTTGTGTGCATATAAAAGCAAGGCTGGCTTGTTGTGGGTGAAGCAACAAGAGGCTCTGGGTTGGGGAAAACCAAATAGCAAAGAACAAGCTATTTCAAATCCATCTACTTGCACAGTAAGAAGGCATTGCATGCTACCAGGAACATTCAAAAAGCTCCTGGGTGACAGATGGGATGTTTCACCCTATTTTGACTGAGTTTCATATTGAATAGTATGCTAAAAGTGCAGGAGACATACCCAAGCTGGTTCTTCTCTATTTGAGTAAGGAAATCAGGATGGTAGTTTTCCCTGCAAACCACAAGCATCATAAGGGCCCCTTGCCTTTCACTGCCAGGTTAGCAGGCTGCCTTCTTGCTGGGTCCTGTAGTGCTTTTTGGCATCTGTTCCCTCAGGCACCTGAAGGACAATATACCACTCAAGGAAAACTGACACATCTGCCACATTGGAAGGTCAGAGATATTTATTTAAAGGCCACACCCAAACTAGTGTTTAGACTCCTAGAATAGTTGTGGTGCATGACAGAAGAATTGGGTAACCTCCCCTGTCAGGGTAAAAGCAGCAGTTGAAGAATTGCCAGGTATAGCTTGAGGCTTGCAAGGGGACTTTCTTCCCATTTCATGAGAAACCCCTGCAGGTTTGCCTCTCACCAGCCACACAGTGTCCGTACTCGTGGTTTTCTGCTTCCCAGTCCCATCGCCTCTACATACAGAGCATACTGTAGACTGAGCAGGGAAGACAGCTGAACTCATCTTTGCCAAGAGGGTCATTTTTACCTATTGTATCCTGGACTTCAATCCATGCAGACACCATAATGGTGCATTTCTGGTATTCTCATCACTTGGCTTTCTGCTAGAGCAGGTTTCAAGGTTTTTCTTCTTGACCCAGGGACTGCATATCCTGTGCTTGCAGGTGATCCACAGGACTCTGAGAACAAGGAACATGTGCTGGTCAATAACAAGTGTCAGTGTGTAACAGTGACCTCAAAGTTCGTCCCCTCCAAAGAAAATCCTAATGAAGAAATCCTGGAGAGAAACATACGCATCCTGTAAGTGGCAGACACATATTACATGGAGATGGTGAGCAGGAGACGAAGCATTATATGAGATCCATTTTCTTTGCATTGTTTCCCATGTCCTGGCACTGATGAAGTGAACTGTTTTTCCCATGGGCTGCTTTCTATGGTATCCTAGAATATTTTCTTTTTCTTCATGTTTTTCTAGCTCACACGAACCTATCTGGTGTTGGTCCCTTCAGATACAAAAAAACATCTCCATGTTTTAAGTGGTCCATTAGTAACTTTAAAAATAGGCTGGGGAGGTAGAATAACCTTTCTACTGTTGATCTAATCTGAAACCAAACTGGGCCCATGACACTGGCCTTACTTACCGATCAGATAGCAAGTCTGCTATTTTATAGGCTGGAAAAACTAGTTAATGCCTAAACTGTCAGAAAAAGATTAATCCTGTGAGGCAGATCTCAGTTCAAGAGTAGGATTTTGTCCTCTTTATTCACAGAAACCTTACAGAAGTATGTGTGTCTCTTGGAAACATGGACCAAGTTCAGGCTCAGAGCTGCAGTTCTGGTAGAGCTCGTAACAGGAGAAATACTAATTAAACATCTCTATGTCCTGTAAGCCTCTTGGGCATCTACCAGCTCAGAGTTTAAAAACCAAAACACAAACCAAAAAAAGGATTATCAGCACTGTCACCTTGAAAGTGGCACTTTCAGAAATTGCTGCAGTCCTCTTGGGGAAGGTTGTTGCCTTTGAGGGCACAGAAGGGCCAATATCTGCCGTTCCTGGACTTTGCTGTAGAGAAGGGTCGGAATGGAAAAAACCTGAAGAACAAGATGAGGGTTGAGAATTCTTCACAGCAGCCTAGTCCCCTGTTTAATACGCAGTTTTCATGAGAGTGATTCTCTTCCCTCCATTGCAGAGTCCCCCTGAAGGCTCGAGAGAACATCTCTGACCCCATGTCCCCACTCAGAACCACTTTCGTCTACCGCATGACTGAACTGTAAGTAATTTTATTTATTAAGTTCACTTCCTAAGATTTAACCTCCCCTGCAGCATTGCCCGCAGCAGCTCAGAAATATGCTTGAAGGCCAGTAGAGAAGGTGACTCAGGGTCACAGAGGAGAGTTTTCCCCACGGAGCCTAGCTTTCATATTCTGTTGCAAGCCAAGAAATTGTTATCTCTGTGATTAATTCACATAAAAAGGTCTCACCTTTACAGAGATCTGACCCCTGTTCATCTCGAATGTCTTAAATATCAGCAAATTACACGTTGCCTGTTTAACCCTCCCTTTTAGAGACCAGTCTTGCCAATAGCAGCTTGACAACACTAAAAGCATCTGGCTGGGAGTTCCTGTGTAAAACCTAGAAAGGCCACAGTACTCCCCTAGCTACATCTGTAGATCAGCAAGGAAGATTTGGGTTTCACAGGGGCATCTTTTCCTCACAACTCTTAACGCTTGTTCTATTCTCCATGTCTTCCAGCTGCAAAAAATGCAATCCTGTAGAAATTGAGCTGGGTGGTGAGATATACCAGGCCCAGCAGAGCACCTCCTGCAACGAACCTGAAACCTGCTACACTTACAACAGGGACAAGTGCTACACCACAACCTTCCCTTTCATTTACCACGGGGAGACGAGAGATGTTAAAGCAGTTCTGACGCCAGCATCCTGCTACGCCGATTAGCAAAATCCACTGCTATACTAATGCCTCATTGCACTCAGTGTTCCTATCAAAAATACATGTATAGCACCATAGTACCTGGATGACAGTGTCCAAAATATCAGCTCCCAGAGTAATGCCAGCTCGCCTCTTCATATTGTTTTCAACATCAGACTAGTGCCATCTCCCAAGAGACTGGTTGTCATAGGCTGACTCTGTTCTCATATTCCTGGAACATATCTGCAATGCCATTATTATACATCTCATATGTTATCACATGATACAGACCAGATCCTCAGCAGGTATAAATCAGTAATTCCCCTGAAGTCAAGGAACCTGTCTTTTTGACAGTTTTCCACCGGTCTTCATCTAAACAAGGCTACCACGGGCATCAGCAGGAATGTCCGTGTACTTCCCTCCATGAGCAATGTAAAGCAAACCTCTGCACAACCTTTATACAAGACCCTTTGATTAGATTAGCAGAATTTGTGCCATTATTAGAAGGCTCTTGTACAATCATATTTGAGAGATAAGATGGGGGAATGAGACCAAGAATTCAGATTTCAACGTTACTTTACAATTGGGCATTCTAGACCCTTCTAGTACTTTGACAACTGCAAGCTTCTAGTTCTCACATTTAGAGAAGATCAAAAGACAGCGCTACACTGAACGGTTCTGCAAAGTTGCCAGGCCCTCAGCTGTGCCAGGAATAGTAAACTTTTCTAGGACATGTTAGATATTTCACTTTCCATGCTTATTTACTGATATTGCTGCCTTCTTCCACCCCTTATCCCAGTTCAATTGATGAAAAAAAAAAATCAAGTTGGCTCAAATTTCTTTTCTTATTCCTCATTTTGCATTTAAAGTTTCAAGAAATTCTGCGAAGGTGACTCAATTGGTAGAGCAGGACCCTAGTTAGGGATTCATTCCTTCTTTTTTTCTTCATACAAGTAGTCTTTTTCTTCATACAAGAAACCCTCACCAAATACGGGAGCTGATTCTGTATTGCACCTTGCATTTAAATGCATTACACTTGTTATTGCTCATAGGAAACATCATGTATGAGTGCATAAGTTGTCCAGCATTACATTTGGGATGGCTGGTATGTTTCTCACTGTTGTCACAAGCTGATTGTAAAGCCTTAGGCTGTTCTGAAAAATCCTTATCTGGCTTCACGCATAATTGGAATAATAAAACAGCAAAAACGTTACTTCCATAATTGTAGCTTTGTTAGTGAAACATCAAATAAACTTTTCTCTGCAGCAGTCTGTGTTAATTCCAGTTCAATAAGAACTCATAAGAAAAAGCCAAGTCTATAAGCATATTCTTTCCTCCTTCACAGTGAAGTAAGGAGCTCTCCCTAAATAACTGCTTCTACTTACAGGCAAAGCCTCCTGAAATACTGGGACAGAAACATTATGATGCACTTGCACAAACTATGACAGATTGAGGCTGAACTGGTTTACGATTTTAGGATCAGCTCCGCATCACTGAGCTGCTTCAAGGCCCTGTGAATCAGTGCAGGATCAATGTTTAAAAATCCAAACACTGCCTAAATCACCCTTGAAATTGCAATCCACAGATCAGAATTTTACCTCACCACTGCAACAAGTGCCTTCAACATAGGTTTGTCAGGGGCTAGTCATTCATATGCAAGGTGTCTGTCCTAAAGAAAAAACAATCTTGTAGAGGCCAAATTTTGAAGACTAAAAGAGTAAAGAGGACTGAGACATAAATTATTCTCATGTTACATCAGAGTTATGGAAAATGAACTCAAAAAAAAATCTTTTTTTTTCCCTCCTTCACGCAAAAAGATAGCTAATTCAAAAAAAATGCAAAATGCAACGGGAGGCAAAGAGACTCCTGCCATGTACTGACACAGCTATTAGTATTTCAGTGGTTAGGTACTAAGCTCACTGAAGTTTGTCTCAAAGACATTTTCATCTTGAAAGTCCTGGTGCTCACCAACCTAGGAGCGCTGTGATGTTAGAAGTTAGTGAGTCACGGTGAGGCTGCATTTCGTCTCCCAACACAGCTCTTCAGTTTACAGCCATAGGAACTTGCCAGTGCTTGGGGCTCTGCCTCTACTCCTGAACTGTGTGCCTAAACGTGAAGTTTCTACGTTTGTTTGTACATCCTGTTTTAGAGACAACGGAAGATTCACATTTACTCACAACAGGAATGGAAATCACCCTGCAGCACATCTTGGGAGTCCAGCAATGCCAGCACAACAGACTATTCCTGAGAAGCATTCAGGAAAAAGAAAATCAAAGCACAGACTATTATCCAAGCAGCTGTGAGCAAGTACTTTGCTTAGATAATCTTGGGCAGAGCAAACAGCCACTGGGAAACAAGAAAAAAAGTGTTCAGCAAACTCGCCACATGCTGTTCAGCTTTATAATAAAGCAGGATTCATTCCCCCCGTCTTTTGTCACAGAGAGAAGCCTATGCTGACAGCCCTGCCTACCCTTTGGCACTGGATTGTGTTAGCTGGGTTTTAAATGATAACTCAAAGCAACACAGCAAGTTAAATCAGGCTCTGAATCCTTACCTGAAGACCCGGACAGTAAAATAGGAGCAAGTGAAGCCTGCTTATCCCTGAGAGCATACTGGGGAGGGTCTGGGACCTTCTAGTCCAGGGAAGAGGATGCTAATGGACGAGGGAAACTCCCTTTGCTGGAGGTTGTCTTACATGCGCCAACAAAACCATGTCCTGCTTTGAACGATCAAGTTTTTCAGACTGTGCGGCCGCTACTTCAAAGTGGGATTTTTTTCGTGAGTCCTAATGTTGGGAGTAAGAATACCTCCCTTGGCGTGAACTCCTCTGTTTTGTTCTCTAATTGACAGTGGTGGGACAACCCTTCCCACTTGGCCTGGCAATACTTTCCTATAAGCTCCATCTTTTTCTTCACAGGTCAGGTTGGTTCTTTAGCTGCATTTAATGTTTCTTGAATAGTTCCTCCTAGTGCATTTAAGCTAAATGCATTTTGTCTCAAACTTGTACAAATACATTTGTATTTTACCTCCTCACAAAGTACTTGTAGACTTAATTCTTCCCACGTCTGTCCTCCTTGCCTAAATACCGTTCTGTTGCTTATGCAATGTTGAGTTAAAGAGGGATTTCTCACTAGTTTTTTTAGAAGTCCTTTTTAAAGCATGGAAATTTATCCTCATAATCCTGTTTCCAGTTTGACCAAAAGGTTTATTTAGCAGCAGAAACTACAGAACATATAAAAGCTGAACAAAACAAATCCTTGAGCTCAAAGACACTGTTTTACAGTAGGGAATTCAGCAAAGGAAGCAGCTTATGACCATAATCAACCAGGCAAAGCTGCAGTTTAACTCACAAATAGGCCAAAGAGCTATGGGACAGCCCAGTTCCTGTGCTTTAAAGGCTTCAGCTGTCTTTATTAGGTATTTTTGGTGTAGCAATATATAACAGGCTATGATTTTTAGTGGCCTCACTATATTAAGTCTACTTTTGTTAGCACAAGGTTTGTCCATGGTGGGATCTTTCTGCAGAAGAGTGTCGCTTTGTACACTCTCAGGTGGAAGGTTTCATTTTTTCAGTAGGTATGTAGATTGCAGCCAGTTATGCCTTAAGGAATTCAGAGATCACTTTTTCATATTCTGTAAAGCAGTAAGCACAATGTGGATGCTTAAAAAACAATAAGTTTTTTGTGGACCAGGGTCTTTGACTTAGCCAGCACGTTACAGCACAAGACATCATCAGTGTCTTCTAGCCAAGCCGAAGCACCGCTAAGCTAGCCAAGTGGTTTGTGCCTGGAATGTGGTAGTCCACATTCCATTGTCAAACTACCTGGCCATTTCAGAAGTAACTCAAAGCTACCTTTAAGGTTATTCTAATGGAAGAATATTCTTTTAGGAGCAGCTCAGCTACTAGCTTCTATTAATCTCAAGATAATTTAGAAATCTGTATTAATTCACGGTCACGAAAATAACTTCTCTTATTTTGTCGTATCTCTTCAGTCACTTTCTTGCAAGCTTTGGATGTCTCCTCTGGAGCTCTACTATCATTTCCCCCAGCCAGCATTTTCAGAAGGAACTGAAACAAAAGATTTAACATAAGCATGATTAACAGCCTCAAATGACTCTTAGAGAGCAATTGAAAAAAAGATGAAAATATGTAAAGAGAAAGGGTCAAAACTCCAGCGCATATATTGCTCAGTTGCAGCTGTTGCTTATGATATGAGATCAAACTCAGTGAAGTCCCTTCTTAGGCATTCCGAGGTTGAAATCTGTTTTGTACCCACAGTTAACATTAGCACTGGCTTCTGCACATGCTGATGGCACGTAAGAATGTCAGCCACGCAAGCTGCAAAGCTATGAGAGTCCCAAGCGTACATCAAAGTACCTGTTCACTTGCTCCCAGGATGCCACTTTGTATTGGTCCTTCACGTGAAGCTTGAACAGGGGGATCCCAGCACCACTTTCAAGACCCTCTGCTCAACAGAGCCCCAGCTGCCTTCTGAAGCCCCATTTGCAATTACACCAGTTCCTCCCCTCCAAAAGCTCCAACACACAGAAGAGAGAAGAAGCGGGGGTTCCTAATCTAGGCGGTTTTACAACCAGGACCTTGGGACAACACAGCAATAGCCACAAGCACATCAACATGGGGACACAGACAATACCCTCAGCAGATTCCCATGACTCACCCAAGGCTTTCTGTAGCCCTTTCTTTCCAGGAAATCCTTAAAGGCCTGTGTGCTGTGGAGCTGTATGACTTCCATCTCCTGAATTTATTTCCACGGTAGATGAAAATAAAACATTCAGATTTCATTTCTATGTACAGGTTCCACATGCCTAAAGAAACCACGCAGCGTATATCTGTCCAGCTCTCACGAAAACTTATCAACCAATAAGTATTTTAAATGCTAACAGCTCTAACTAGTTCAGATTTCATTTTCTCATTTCAAAGATATGAGGTTGCTTCGTGAATGTGAAGTTGATTTTAGCAAATTATAGCCTATGAACCTGTAATGTGATGTCCTGTGCTACACAAAGTCATTTCCACCAGCATCTTTGGTAAGGAAGGCAGGAAGGGTTATTCTTCATTATCCAAGTAAGCACACCTGCCCTCGATAGTCTGCAGTCTGTTCCCTGGAGGGGCTGGAAAAAATTAGGTGGATTATCATTCGACTGTAAGCTTTGCCTTTATTTTTAGGCAGCATTAACAAAACCATAACCTTTGCCTTTGTGTTCTTCTGAGCTCAGTTGTTCCCAGGCATCCTCTCTGCAAAAGTTCCTCTTTTGTTTTACAGACAGTGTTTCTTCATAAACCAGGAGTGACACTTGTCATCCAGCTCACCAGCCCTTTGCATGTGGCATGATTTTACTCACATGCAACTCCTCAGTTCTACTTTTGGAAGGACTGCCCTCTAGAGCATGAACAATATCTTCCCTTTTTACTGTGTAGTAAGTGTGAAGATGGAGTAGATCTTTTTTTATAAAGAGGAAACTAAACCTATGTCTGAGTAAACCAAGCAATTGAAGAACATGCCTGCTCTTCAAACTCCTAATAACACTTCATACCACAGCTGAATTCAGCACCTTTGTCAAGATAGGT